TATTAATCACGTTGAATTTTCTACTTTCATTGGTCATCCGTCAAATAAATCAAATAAGAATAAATTGTACTGTTAAATTATAATCTACTTATTCTTTGGTTACTTGGTATTATTTAGCTACTTAGTAGTATTCAGTCCAGCAGCATTACAGGATTAGATGTGATATCGCGTTTTAACGAGTTGCGATTGTATTCGGTAATTTCGTCAATTTTTAGCTGCCCGCGAAGTGTTACTTTTACTGTGATAAAATATATTATCTTGGTCGATTTACAACCGGTAGGTACCAATTCGTCTGTACTCTTCCAACAGAATAGTAAACTTATATTTTAAGACCGTACCTCATGGTACATTGTCAAGTTTTGGTGCGGTGGTAGGTACAACTGCTCTATGTAAAATAATAATAATAATAATACATCATTGTAAATAACATAACATTATATTATACGGGTACCATACATAACACATACTACTGTACAAAAAATATGCGATAGTTTTTAACCACATTAGATATCATGTGAGTTTTTATCAAACACACACAATAATGATTGGTAATTTGCCTAACGTATTAGTGATAGTATACAATTTATTTTTCTATTTATTAAACCATAATAGGTAAGAAAATATGAAAAAAAAAAATTTAGGTTATTATTGTAATATTACAACCTAGCAGTTTTATTCTACAATTTTTTTTTTTTTTAACGAACTATATCCTCTATATATTTACATTATATTTAAATTATACTTTATTTAGAATTGAAGCAGTACCTTTAAGGTCAACATTTCTATACAATTATTAAGTATAAAGGTCATGTGTACGTTCCATACAACGATTCGGAAGCATTTAATAACATAAAATATTTCCATTAAATTTACAAAGACCCTGGTAAAGTTATTTCCGTAAAATAAAACGTTTAAATCAAATCATCGTGAAGAATTATTTATTATAAAAAAAATCACCGATGAATTTCTTTTGCTATCTAAAATTACTTAAAATATATCATCAATAAATAAGTGTAGATCAAAATTATCAAAACTTTAGATACCTATTTATTATAGTGATATTTTTATTATTATAATTTCTATTACTATTAAATCTATGATAACAATAACATTATTTATTCAAAATTTATTATTATACTAAAATAAATTAACTTACATTTACGACCATAAATATTTTTATGGAATGATATTTAAGTGTTATATATGTACCTATATTTGTTTCATTCTGTCGGTAATATCAAACACAGGACTTAAAAATTAAATAAATAATTTGTTGATTATTGGTAAAGTAGCTTTGATACTACTTATTGAACAATAATAATTATGTATATATGCACAACTCGTGTTATTGAAAATATTAATAGATTCAATTTTTAAAAAATCTTTAAATCGTGTTATTTTAAAAATCATCTCATGACTAACTCATCACACGGAAAATTAAAATCATCTATAATAAATTGTAGCACATATATATATATATATATACAGTGGAACCTCAATAAGTCGAATTTTTGATAATGCGAAGGAATGCCTTGGCTCCGGCCTTACAATATATGATATGTGTGATAATTTTTCTCAATAATTCGAATTTCGCTAACTCAAATTTCTCTTTAAGTCGAAATATTTTTAGTCGAATTTTGGCTTTAAATAACTCAAATTTATATAATAATATATATATATATATATATATATATATACATAAAACGTACATACCTTGATAACTCGAAGGTCAAATAACCAAGTGTATTATTATTAATAACGGTAATCGTAATCAAAAACTGATTAATATTATCAATCTAATCTTTACCTAATGCTTAAAAGGTACAATTATAAATTCAATCATATAATAAGATTTAATGTCTATATCTCCGATAAATTACGTTTATCTACTACATTTATTATACATTTATTATTGGAACCAAAAATTGGAAATGAGCTTTTTACCGCGCTAAACGTTATTGAAAACTTTACAGATCGGTCAAAAAATAAAAAACAATTAAAAATATCAGATTTCTTTAAAAAATAGTTTTACTTTAATCATTATATTTTCTTTATATCATACAATTTATACATACACATATTTATTACTTTATACTTTTTTAAAAATTTTAATACAATATACATACCTACATACATTATACATTTATTAGTAAATATATAAATAAATAAAATTATATAAAATGAACTCTTTGTGTTTTATACAAAAAAATATTTTCGGTAACTCGAATTTTTTTTTTGTCCCCAATCGATTCGAGTTATCGAGGTTCCACTGTAAATATATAATATATAATTTAATATAATATATAATAGTAGTATTCGAATTGATATTATTAACAAAATATATGCAATTTAAGGCAAAAATTAAATTTTTTTGATAGCAATAATGTTATTTTAAACAAACCATTAAATAATTACAATATCATTGTCATTTTTTAGTTTTTAAAAGGAATGAGTGAACTTTATATTTATTTCCATCTACTATTATCAAACAATTTATTTATGATACCATAGTCTAATAAGGAGACAAAAAATACATGATTTCTTTACCAAGTTAATACTTACAGTTTCCTGCAAAGATTCTAACACTCTCTATCCCAAACACACACAAACTTTAAAAAATGTACTTTAACAATAATGATTCGCTTTCAGTTAAAATAACACAATCGCGGACTTGTGATAAAAATACAATCAATTCTGATTATAATAATTATAGTTAAATTAGCGCATAATAATTAAGCATTGTTTGTGTCTAAAGATAAATTATATTAAACGTAGTATTCGATTATTAATATTATCGTTTAATTAATCGTATAATTTAATGGACTGGCCACAATATCTATGTATAATCTACGAGTAACCCAGTAAAATTTAATATTTTTATTTTAATGATAATCTAAAACCCATTTACGTATATACCTCACAAAAGTTCGATAAAATGAAAAACAAATCTGCCGTGTAATTAATAGACAACATAATAAAAATATAATTGCTTGTCTAAATACATATTTGTTGAGAATGGTAAAAACCGAATGATTTTTATCATTTAGACTCCAGTTATCATGCGTTCCATTTAGTCGCGGAAAAATTCTTAATGCCTATTACCAGGAACCGGGGCTTAAAATACTTGCATATTTGGGCTAAAAATAAAGTTTTTCTTCGAAACAATATTTTTACTAACGGTTTACTATACGGTTTTAATAATTGAAAATTTAATTTCAATGCATAATTGTTCGCAGTTTTATATGAAAAATATGCATAATATATTAATTCGATTAAATAATACGGTACTTATATGATTTTGTAATATTTTGCAATTATTCATATACTTTTAAATTATCATCAAAGTTTTCTAGTTGATATTTACTTACGAATCGTCCGGTAAAATTTAAAATGTCGTGATGTCTGAAAGGACGACTTCGTAGTGTTACATAAATCATACATACATATATATAAATCATTAATAAATTACTCTTTATATATCATATTGATGGATATTAACAAGCAATTTGTGAGCCTTCCAGTACGCGTTCGTTAAGTTAACATTAGTATCCCGAGTATCAACTGTACCCGTATAAGGTTGATTTATACAATTCGTATACTTTGCCATCTTGGATCTCGCTGTTGTCTTATCCTCGATCACCCCTTTTATTATGATAATACACTGTACGGTTTTGAATTATATACGTTCACCAGAATTAGAATATATTAAAAATGTGCGTATTAATATACGTCACGATAATAATATGTGCAACCGTCAAAGGAATAGAAAAAAAATAACACGATGGTTATTGTGTTCTTCTTGTTCACTCCCGTTAACGTCTTGTCCATAGTCATTTGTAATCCGACCGTATAGATTAATGTTGTTGGAAAATTAATGAAACAAATAAAATAAACAAAAACATTTTCATTTAAACTAAATCGAAGTACACTGGCATGTGGTACTATGCAGCCACGGTACAGATGATAAGGTATTTGACATCATAACAATATTTCGGTGGACGAATAATAATAATAAATAATCGGTACGGTAACTCAAGTAAACTGATGGTGTACAAATGGTGGAAGAAGGGGGCAAGGAAGACTGAAAAAAAAATCTCGTTTTGAAGTGGTTAGAACGAAAAATATACATATCTTGAATGTTATAACAAATGTATAAAATGTATTATTTGTCAATTACGATGTGATCACGAAAACATTAGTCTTTCGTCCGATGAGATATTGAAATAGATATTGACATAAAAACTTTCTTTAAACGCCCTTGCTGTGCCGGCTGATTGCTCGGATGCGTACTTTTCGTCGTGTGAACACGATAAGATAATACGTGTACCACAATATTGTTTTTTGTAACAGAATAACTAAATCACTACGTACACGGTTCCCGTTCACGTGTACGTGTGTAAGTACACGAAAATATATTAACGCAAAACCTAATGCAATCTCACCACGTATCGAAACGCATTACAAAGCAGTACACCCTACGAACAAAGCTAGGCGATACGTGATGGCAAAGAAGTATTTCGGTCGACCGCTGAAATTTTCGACCGGTCGTTTAATATCCACAGTACAATGTTTAACGGAATAGAATAACGTTTCCGTCCACGCGAACGGAAATAAGTTTCCCAACGATCCGGCGATTTTCGTCTTTGACGGGTTTTAGCGATGCCACTTGCGTGTTACGATGTACTTACCACTCGAACAACTTTTATTTCGGATGGACGGTATGTCGGCGAGGACAGTTAGTGGGTTTTACACGACCGGGTTGTTGTACAAGGTTTTGAAAAACGTGTTGCAATTTTTCTTCCGAACGTTTCGATGCGGAAAGTAATCTTTTTATTTATAAATCCCGTTATACGCAAAAGGCAGGACGGGCCCCTCGAGAAAATCGAACTGCTTCGCGTTCCCGTCACCGGTTTTGCCATATAAGATACGGTTAAACAATAAATAAAATGTAACAAATCATTCCGTTGTAAACCGACAAATCCAAATTTTAACATTTTCAGACCACATTTACGCCGAGCAGCTTCGCCGAACTACTGTCCGGTTCGTATTCCGAGTTGCCGCTGAACGAGGAGATCGACTCGCTGTCGGACGTGCACGGCGTGCTGACGGACGCGGCCGAACAACCGCACTCGGACCACCAACACCACCACCAGCATCACCACCAACAGCAACAGCAGCAACAAAATGGCACGGCAGGCCTGTTGCCCAGTTTCCAGGAGACGTATGCCGCGACAGGCGTAGGGTTCAAAATGGAAGAGGATTACGCGTCACCGACCACCGCGGTGGCTGCTTCGATGGCCACTCCCGTGGCCGCTTACCATCATCAACACCAGCAGCAGCCGCAGCAGCAACAGCATCAACTCCACCTGCACCACAACCACCATCATCACCATCATCACCATCATCAACAACAACAACAACAAGCACATCAACACCCGCACCAGCTACAGCAACACCCACACCAGCACCACCACACTGGACCGCCGCCTCCGCTCATACACTTCGATTATCACTTCCAACACTTTCCGGGCGTGTTGCCGACCCCTTCGCAACAGCAGCAGCAACCGCCCGACTCGCCGACCGCCGATCACAGTGGGGCCACTTCCGTGTTCGAACCGATGCTGGATCACGTAGTCATCATGACGCCCAAACCGCAACAGCAGCAGCAAAACCATCACCTTCACCAACCACAGCAGCAGCAGCAGCAACAGCACCAACAGCAGCAGAACGTGATGGTCGTCGGCCACCAGCATCACCAACAGCAGCAGTCCTTGCCACCACCGCCGCCGCCACCACCCACTTCGTTGCTGATCGACACGGCCGTGACCGCGGAACAGCTGCACCACGTCACCAACAACGCCACGGCCACGACTGCGTTGGGCGCTGTCAGATCAAGCAGGACGTCGTCGTCGTCCTCGTCCTCGTCGGGCCACAGGAATGCCGCTGCTGTAGATTCTTCCACCAGGTGAGATAACAACTCGATGGTTATGGATTTTTTACATATTTACATGCTATTTTTCAAAGTAACCCCTCCTCGGTTGTAATACACTTTTTCCGTGGTTCTTGCCGCTTTTTGAATACGAACGCCAGACCGTCTTTCTCGATCTTATTGCACCGCGTCTCCACCACTCTGATGGCCTTTTGATTAATTTTGAATTAATCAACCCCTGAGCAAAAACATGATATCAGGGAATAGCCAGAAATCACATAAGGCTATATCTGGACTATACGATAGGTAGGGTTTTGATGCCACGAGCGTTTAAAAAAAAAATCCCGATCTTGACACATAGTGACACGATATTGCATATGATCTGGTGTGTGTAAGCATGGCATACACCTGCAAGAAACGCGTCGCATGGACGAATCATCGGTTAAAATCGAAAATGTGCTGACACCCATGTCTAGGCATGCAGAGAGCTCCTCGTACGTAAAACTTAAAATTGAGATATTGAAATCAATTAGAAATCCGGATTTAATTCCTATCACTAGTTAACACACGGTTCTTCTCTGCAGATATACAAATGTAATCGTACTTCCTTTCGAAGGAACGGCCGCGGTGGCAAATCTTTGAGCAGTCTGATGTTCGGGAAATGTATTTACACTCGCAAATAAAAACTTCCGAATCGATAATCATAGATCGAGAGTCCACTTCTGAATGTCAAAAAAAAAGTGTCCGGCCGCGAACACGATAAGATCCCAATTCGATTATAATATAATACACGAATGTACAGACGATTGCACTTCGCCACGCATTGTAAAATTGTATAAATACAAATGTTTATTATTATTATAATTTTACAGTGCGAGTTCAACCGATAGGCGTGTTTCAGGTTTAGCATGGGTACCACAGGGTCCAAGCAGGAATTTTTATCTGTGGCCTACAGACCCTTCCAAAAACAAATAAAACAAAGATTGCATAATATTTACTCTTAAAATGTATAATATACTTTTATTAAATTGACCATCTACCAACAATTGATAATATCTAATAATTGAGATTGTTATTCGCTCAAGTCAATCCCAAAACAACTGTTCAATTGAATATCAACGTTTCATTTACTAACTAAACGGTTCTACATTATTCTATGAAGAGATTAATCATATTTTTTTAGCAGTCGTCTATTATGATAAATATGTGATATGAATTTATATTTTTAATTTTTTCATTAGTGAATGGTGGCCCCGAAAAATATAACACTGCTAGTGCCCAAGCAGGAATCCTTGTCCTCCTGCTCCTGCAAGGCCAACACTCACGTGTTTCGTTCGTAAACCTTTTCTTCAACGATTCGTTTTATCTTAATAGCCGAGTTCATATGGGTATCATACGATTGTGCGTGATTCTTATCGGCGGTACCTTTTTGCACGTGCTACAAAATCTTAACTTCCATTCAACGTTGCCAAATACATCGACTGTTTTTTGCATTTTTTTACCGGAAAAACGAAACTTCAAGATTTCTCTCACTATGGCTGCCGGCTTCACTCTCAAACTTGAGTGTCACTGCATGGCTTCGCCCCAAAGAGACTTATAGTGTTAGCCTAACCTAGTTTTTGAACAAACCTTGATACTGTTTCAGATGGGATTATGCGTGAACCTAAAACCTTACTGCGCGAACAAATAACATATTTCACGTAAAAATTTAATTCGCCACACTTCGTCGAAGTTTTTTTTTTGGAAATTTTTGATTAAAAATTCATAAAATATTCAATATTAATAGCTATTTTAATTGAATTATGGTAAAGAAATTATTAGAAATGCAATACATTAAAAATAACTATCGTAGATGTGTATAATAATCATAATAGATATTCAGTCAACGTTGCTTCCAATTTCACTCGCGGTCGTACACTTTTGAAGGGTCAGTGTCCATTATTGTTCCGACACCGCGTACAATCGTACACCCGAAAAGGTAAAACGCACGCATTCGTACCCCGCCGGTTCATATCGTCATGCGGTCAACGTGATCGCGTTTGCAAAAGTCGTTTCATAAACCGGCGTATAATATAACCTGATCGCGGTTTAAATATTTTCGTTATAATGTTAATTTATTGACAGTTATTTTATTTTTTTCTTTATTTTTGTTCCGCTCTTTCTCTCGCAAATCAGCCTGTCACCGAAAATTCGACACTGTATCAACATACTATCCGTGTCGGCGCCCAATGACTGTTCACCATCGGTGCCGGACATGCCGTCGTCGCAGAGGAACATCACCGCTGGCATGGCGCCGTCCTCGCCGTCCCAGTTGTGCGCGGTGTGTGGCGACACGGCCGCGTGCCAACACTACGGCGTGCGCACGTGTGAAGGATGCAAAGGTAAGCCTTTCCCGAACTCGTCTACTCTACAGTTGGACCAAGCGTGGCTTCAAAGACTCACCGGTGGGAGGGGGAGGGGGGGTGGTAATTTCAAATATTAACTGATAATAGTTGTTTCCCCAAATTAGTACTAAGACACAGAGTCCGACTACGTTCCTATAATATTATGATACACACCTCATATTAATGTCATAATATGGTTTATTAGATTAAATAAAATTGTTAGAAAGTTATCTAATTAAATAATAGGGATTTTACGGTTCACAAGGATAAAAATGTAATAAAAAATGTAAATGTTTGAAAAGCCTGGGAGGGGGCCATGGCTCAGTGGCCCCCTTCTTGGAGCCGCGCCTGAGTTAAACTGCACGCACGTTGGAATTGGCTACTCAACTCTTCGCTGGACAAACTATCGCTTTGTACAGTCCGTAGTTAAAATATAAGCCTCGCGCAGTCGGTTTTTACCGTTAAACTAATCAGTAGTATGGATAAATTGCGTCAAAAAAAAAATAATAATAATAATAAAAAAATAATCCCAGTCACATAAAACGAAAATTGTTCCGAATATAAAGGAAATATTGAATCAAGTTATAATTGTTGTCAACAGACTATAAAATGAAATTATCGTGCGGTCGTGGAAAAATGAAAAATACCGAAACATTTTTACGAAAAAGACTATGTTATGTGTTTTATAAATTATAAGGGCTCGGATTTATATGTATTTATACAACAAAAATATGTGCTAAAAAATGTTTAATATGTATTATCAAAAAATAATAATAATAATAATAATTAATAATAGAATGAAATGTAATAAAAAAAATATTTATCTATCTAATTATCTTGATTACAATTAATAATAACATGGATTTTTAAATTTTCGAATTCGAAAGATCGCCGATTCTGTCGTAAAATGTATATCGACTGATGCTATAGGATAATATTGCATGTTGACTATGTCTGAAGGAGAAAGTTCTACATGAAGCTTCAGTCAAAACACCAGTCAGAATACTTTTAATAGCTTTCATTTCTGCTAGACTGGAATTTTTTTTGTAATACATTTTTAACTTAAGCGTTTACAATATCGTCAATTGGTCCTTGAACTTTTTCAAGTCTTTTTACTGCTTCCTCTACTAAAGTTAAGTCTTGAGTTTCCAATTTCATAATGACATCAATCAAAAAATAATAATTAACAGAAATATTTATTAATTCATTTTTTAAATCATTATTTTCTGAAAGAATTTCAGCTTTTTCAATATACATTGAAATATTCGCATCGAGATCGGCAACAACATTTTTGATTTCTTAGAACTTTTGACAATAATAAATAGCGGCATTCAACCAAGTGCCCCATCTAGTTACAATTGGTTGTGGAAGAAAACTTAGATCTGGATACATATTTTTAAATATTTCAACACAACTAGGAGCTTTTAGAAATATCTTTTTGGCTGAAGATATTAACTCGTCAACTTTTATAAATTTTGATCTTAAAGTTTCTGCTATTCGGTGAAATGCGTATGCTAAACACGTTAAGTAGATCATTTTTGGGAAAAAAGCATTTAATGCTTTAGCGGCTTTTACCATGTATGGCGCGGCATCAGATACAAATAATAATACATTATCGTCCATAACTATATCGGGCCATAATATACTCATAGAATTATTAAAAAATGTTGCAACAGTTTGGTGGTTGCATTTATCTAATTGTTCACATTTTAACAAAAAAGGCTTAAATTTACTGTCATTTAATTTTCCTACAATAATATTTGCAATGAATCTACCATCTACATCGGTTGTTTCATCGATTAATACCCATATGGGTCCATCACCAATTTAATTTCTTATAGACACAAAAGTTTCTTTGTAAATTAATTGAATATAATTTTTTCTTAGAGTGCTTTCATCGGGAATCGATTTTGCAATATATTTTTTCAAGAATGATTTTAAATTAAAATTTTAAAGTTTTGCTAGAGGAATATCAGTTTTAATAAAATCTTGACATAAATCGATGTTGAATGTATTAGAAACTGAGGAAAACGTAAATGACAAAAAATTTTGTTTGAATTTCAGCTTTCTATTTTTATTTTCTCTTTATGCTTATTAGTTTTTAAATGTTGTGTTACCTGGAATCGTTGTTCAATTGCTATCGATTTTTCACAAGCAGCACAATAAAAAATTTGACCATCACTTTGTAAATGTTCATTTGGAAATTCAGAAACATATTTTGTTGCTTTGCAAGTTTTAGACGATCGTACCTTCGGCATTATTGGTAATTTACACGTAAATATAAAATAACGAACAACAAACACAGATTAAACTCACAAAATTTTCGTTATTGTATGTATACTGACTCACTGTCAGTACTTCAAACGCAAACACATTTTAATAAATCGTAATCGAACATATATCGACAGTAGATTATATTAAGTTATATTAATAATTGGTATTATTTTTGTTATTATTTTGTATTTTTAGAAATATGGTAAAGCCTGTATTAATAAATAATAAATTGTAAATGAACAAATTGTCAAAATATTTAGGAATAATGGAATTATTGAAAAATATATAAAAACATATACTTATGGCAAAATATGTAACAATATGTAAAATAAAATATAGTTCATTTGATTGGAAATCCCTTAAAACGAATTTATCACTTACCTAAATTAATTTATCAAGTCACAGTAAAAAAATGTATTTACATATAAATTTGAGCTCTATAAAAATTTTATAATTTATAACTTATAAATTATAACATTTTTATTTCATTACCTATATGATTGCTGGATACGTTCGTAGTTATTAACTTAGTTTATCGGTCCATGGGTAAATAATTTAAACTATTTGATAAGAAAAAATATTAAACAATTGCTTATTTTTCATTATATTTATCTACATAGATAAAATTAATTTTATTATAATTTCCTTAAATCGTTTTATATTAACTTGGATGACCATATGTCCGGTTTTTTAGATTGATGTCCTATTTTTTCAATCGGAATTAAACAGGACGCATTTAATCCTGGTTTTTACTATTTTTTCATCAAAAAGTGATTTCAGCGATTAATTGATACTCATCAATAATAAACTGCTTTAGATATTTTTATCTATGAAATCCAGTCATGTTGAAATACTTATTTTTAGTGTGGGTATTTATTTTCCTTGAAATTACGACAATGTCGATCGTCGATGATAATAATAATACATCATTATTGTAATTTGAAATAATAAATATTAATAACATTCATAACACTATAACGTTAATTATTTATCGAGATTATTTTTGAAATCATATGTTTTGTTATAATATATATTATAATTATAATGTTTACATATATAAGTTTCTTATTTTGATGACAATCAATAATTTTTTTTTTTTACCCATTGCAAAAAATGTCCTGTTTTTTTTTATATATGGTCAAGGCTGGACAAGTTAACGATTTTTTTTAACTCGTAAAGTTAAGCTATTTTTAAATAATAAAATTAAATTAAATTAAAAGTTACTCATATTTTTTTCGTTAACTCATTAAGTTAAAAGTTAACTTTGAAAGAAAAAGTAACTTGAATCAGTTCAAAGTTAAAATTTTATAATTTGAAAAAATAAAAAAACTAAACACATAATATTAGTTTTTTAACGCTCAAGAAAATTACTGGGGCAATTTAAAATGATACATAAAATTTACTACCTATTAATAACTTAGTTAAGTAACATTGTAGTTTAAAAAAATAAAATAGTATATAAAGAAATAATAAACTTTCAGAGAAATATAATAAACTAATAACAATATATTATAAAGTCTAACGAGATGTAAACAGAACACATGCTAGTTGAATAATGAAATTAAATTCGAAATTATACCACAGTTGTTTTGTGATTAATCCCCCATCGACACATCGGCACTCATGGTATTTACTATTTTACACATAATATTCTTAGGATTTCCATGGGTTTATAGTGTTTATACAATTATAATGTTATAAAAATATAATGATAAAATATAGCCCATATAATAACTATTAAAGTTAATTTTCATATTATTTTCATCTACAGGAAATTCATATTAAAATAGTAAATTATAAATATACTAAAAACCTCATTTCATAATTTGCATTATTCTTTGCATTAAAGTTAATTTAATTTAGATAATTTTAAATAAAATTAACTTAAAGTTAACACGTTAATCTTAAAAAAAAAGTAACTTATTAAGTTAAAATTTTATTTGTAAAAAAGGAACGAGTTAATTAACTTAATTAAAATTAACTTAACGTTTTAACTTAATTTTAACTTTTAACTCGTTAATGCCCAACCTTGCATATGGTTACCCTCTATTAACTATCTACTATTGAGCAAACCGATTTACAACCATAGAAAAAATATAGACTTCTTGTCAATCTGTCATTATACAAAATTACCGCGTAAGATAGATTCAAATAATAGACGACTTCAAAGCTCTCCTTTATTCACGACCAACCGAAACCGAAGCGGTGCTACAAATATTAAAAATTAAATATAATTAATTATTATTTACCATATAGTTTTTGATACCGACCGGTTTTTGCCTACATATCCGAGTACCACAGACTTCCTACCGTAGATATATTTTACCGTGTGTATCTACCAGTAGCGTATTTAGAAATTTATTTTGGGGCGGCTGTCATACCTAATAGTGAAATAATTTTATAAATTAGTATAAAATGTTCGTTATCAACTTATAGTTTAAATACTAAATAATAATAATAATTAATAACTAAATTAAACGTATGATTGTATTAATCATATTTTATATTACTTGATGTTGTGCATAAATGCATGGTGCATACTGACAACTAGAGATGTTAAGTTCGTTAACGAATAGTTTATTAGAACTATTCTGAACTGTTTTAGTACCTGTAACTTAACAGTTCACAGTTCGAAAAAAATTGGTAGCATTGTAGAAATGAAAAAGTTCGCGAACTTCTTTAAAAATTCATTGTAGTTCGTTGTTTAAAATCCGGTAAATTTAAACAGCTGTTTACAATTAGATAACAAATACTTAATAGCCCATAAGTATTGTGAACCACTACTGAACTGTGTACTGCTGTACTAATAGTGATAAAACGAATAGTCTATTGCCAAACAATATCAATATGATCAATAAAATTAGTGAACTACGTAAACATAAGAATAGTTCATTTGAACTATTCACTTGAACTGTAAACTAACGAACTATTCACAGAAGTGAACTTAACTTTCCATCTTTACTAACAATTGACAGTCACGGACTAAGATATTGATATTCTTATCGACTGATAATTTACCCACATTAGATTATTTATATACCATGTGTGTGTGAGTGCCGTGCGGTCGATTGTTATTATTATTATCCGATTACAATTTAATTATTAGCGATATTAATATATTTATATATATATATTTTAACTATACTTTAATACTTTATTGAATAAACAAACTAAAATTATTATAATACGTTTTCAATTATTTTTTTGGGGGTGGAAACCCCAGCATCCCCCCCACCATAAATACGCCACTAGAATCTAAACTGGATCATGGTGCGTAAAAGTATACATCGGTTGTAGGCTCGTTAGTCGTGTTAGTCAGCGATTTCTATCGTATAAATTATGAGAAATTTTTTTTCGTACACCTACCCTCGGCTGCAACAGCTGTCATTATACATAATTTATTGAATAAAATTTAAATCAAAACATTAAGATATTTAAATTATTTTTCGTATTAATTTAGATCCGCGGGTATAATAATGTTATTATATGTGTATATACCTATAAGTGTGTGTGTGTGTGTGTGTGTGTGCGCGCGTGCGTGTGTGTGTGAAGAAATTAACTGAAAACTGAATCGGTACAATTTGATTTAAATATCGACCGATTTAAAATTTTCGACGCTGAAGAAATTATAACAAAAGAAATATTAATTACAATACCCTCATAGCGTGATAGTGGTGTCTTTAGTATACGTTTTATTTGGCTTAATTAAATAATGGATACGATTTCGTCGTCAAAAACCATCCAAATTGAACATTTACGTTAGAAAAAATAACATTATAGTTATGCACTCACTCGCGTTTCTTGAATTATTTGAATTTCATTCGATAGAAAATAGTCTCGTAAAACTGTTCCAGGTTTATTCGAATAATACATTTTACTACATAAGTGAGTATTTGAAAAATCGATTAGAGAACTCTAATAGACTCTTCAAAACAATAAATTACCATTACCCACCACATACTACTCGTTCGCGTATTATATTAAACATGGAACGCATAGAAGGGACGCGACACGGTCGACTGATACGATCAGGATTCGGAACTGTTTGGCGGTTGGAATGGGTTACCGTTTTATGTTACGTTTTTTTTTTTTTTTTTTGTAGGATTTTTCAAGAGAACCGTGCAAAAGGGTTCCAAGTACGTGTGTTTGGCTGACAAAAGCTGCCCGGTGGACAAACGACGACGGAACCGATGTCAGTTTTGCCGGTTCCAAAAGTGCTTGCAGGTGGGCATGGTGAAAGAAGTAGTGCGCACGGACTCGCTGAAAGGACGCCGTGGACGGTTGCCGTCCAAGCCCAAATCTCCACACGGGTCGCCGCCCAGCCCTCCCGTGTCGCTTATCACCGCACTCGTCCGGGCTCATGTGGACACCAATCCGGATTTCTCGTCCCTGGATTATTCACAAGTACGATGATGTAACATGGTGTGTTACCTAGTATAAGATAATGTCTTAATGTACGTTTATATTGTGAAGATAATCAAATTTGGTTGCCAAACTCGCATAGTGGAACACTTGATTTTTTTACGTTAATGCAAACCTTTTAGTAAACATTTTAAAACTGACTCGTTAATACGCCAGAGTTTCATAAAATTTGAGTATTATCAAACTTAATAATCATACGTCGTACAGACGCGTATGCGGATTAAATTATAAAACGTACGTGTAAAAAAAACACGTACTTTGACGAGAGTTCAACGAAGTTACTTTTCAGTCGCTGTACTTCAGATTGCGCTTTTTACCTGTGTAGCATAACAAGCATAACAATGCCAACACGCAGACGCGAATGAAGCGAGACTGCCCCTTATTCTTACATTATTTCGGAAACGATCCTTGTCAAAATAATTTTTAAACATTTCTCCAGACAGATATCATTCCGACAAAATGTGCTCGAGTAACTTACTCGCTACCATTGACAGTGTGCATTATTTTCAATTAAAAATACAATTTAAATCGCCTTCATTACACGACCTATATACATGTATCTAACTGCAACTACTCGCGAGAGACGAGAAAAAAATAATTTTAGTTAGACTGGGAACGTTTGTGTTTTGTGATTCGTACGACGCACGCGTTGAACGCTGCCGTACAAATATCTATGCGAGAACCTTACAACAATTGAGACAAATTAAATAAGCTATATGGTCAATGGGAAAACTAAATCAATACTCAAATGCCAACTGCATGTATAATAATAATTTTATAAACAAACAAAACGCATTATGATTATGAAAAATTATGACAAACTGCGTTCGACAAAGGCGAGTGAAAAATGAAATTTTTATTCTCAGTTCGGTGGGGAAAACTTTTCTACAAGCTTGAAATATGCACCGAGTCGATAACGATGATAATACTATAAACGTCAGTCACTATAACGTAGAGATTTTTTAAGAGACGGGACGAGTATACGCTTGCTATCGTCACATGTTACTGATCACCCTAAAAAATATTTCAACAACATTTGCAGAGATATTTAGTAATCAAACCACCGCATTTCATTTGTTCAGTGAAAATTATTATTGTTGTTCGCAAAAAATTAGTGTCTTATCGTCAGCAACGGTATTATTCGATAGTAGTTTTTATTTTATTTTTACATGGCCAGGGATGGGTGAACCACAATTTAAATGAATTTTATAAAAACTTAAATATTTCATATTATAAATTTTTCGTCCTGTCCCTTTCATAAATCCATCAATATCGATGACACGAATGTGATACAATAATATAACAGTGCATCTCATTACAAAACGAAGACTGTTCTTTCAAATACTTTAACGCTTACGCAGTGGTGTACGAAGATTAGCTAGCGCTCCTGGCAAACTTAGAAAAAAATGCTTTTTGACTAATTAAAATTTGATGTCATTATATATTTTTTAACCTTTAATTTTACTAATATTTTTCAGTATACAATTTATATTTATGAATTATTATTACAGCGTTAATTTTAAACTTTGAAAATTTACTTTTCTCGCTTTATGACTAGCGAATTTATTGATAGTTTATTTATATAACATTTTTTTATTCGAATGCCCTTGCAAGTAGTGCATGCACTACTTTCATAATTTCATTATTAAATGCATATGTAGTAAGTATAAATAGACATCATCAACGTATTTTAAAAAGTATAATAAAAAAATTTCAATTTGGTTGTAGGATAAAAATACTTCTTTTGCACAATTTTGCGCCCCTGGCATAGGCATAGTTCGTCAAACCCTTGCTACGCCACTGCGCTTACGGTATTATCGTTTCGTTCATGTTTTTTTATTTATACAGTTTTTCATGGCATTTCAGTATTACGAGACAAAACCGTTTGAACCGCTGACGACCGAAGCGGAGAAAATCCAACAGTTTTTCGGACTGCTCACGACGTCTGTAGAGGTAATCAGACACTTTGCTGAAAAGATACCAGGATTTAAGACTCTGTGCAAAGCGGACCAAGATCTATTATTTCAATCGGCGTCTCTGGAATTATTCGTTCTCCGTCTCGCATACAGGTACTGAGATGTTTTAAGCACGAGTATGTAACGATGATCAGTGGCGTATTCAGCACTTTCGAGTAACATTGTGGCCATGATGGAAGGGTGTATTAACATAATTTAAATAAATAAAACTTAAATTTTTGACTAAGACACATGTAAAAAGCAGCCATTCAATGGCTTTGTAATAAAAATCAATACCAAAATCAAATCAAATGTAATAAGTTTTAACAATTCATTATATACAAATTTTTCTTTTGTGTTGATAAAATTATCCATACATAAGATATCGATGTAAAACAATAAGGTAAAAACACATTATTCTCACGTCACGTGAAGTCACGTGTTGTCACATTGACAAAATAAAATCGTGACATCACGCTCAGAAACACACTACGATCACATCTATAACAATGTCACATCACCAGTCTTTCGAGAAGTTTGTTTCAATTACATCGTTAAAAGAATTAATATTTAAAAAATGGAATGTACAAGAAGAAATTGAAACTGTTGCTGCTCTAATTGTTCTTTAAAAATATGTTAACGAATCTAATAGACCATGAGTCCACAAAATTAACAAAAACCGTGAAAAATATTATAATATTAATATTAGTACAACAATTTAACAAATTTGCTACTACCTGAAATATTCAGCTCTTTTCCAATTTCCTCTCACACTATTTGTCGTATATTTTGGTCACAGTAATCACGAGTTCCGTGGTTATATACAGCAGTATGTTCTCGGACCAGTTCTATTAACTTTTCTTACACTTTTTTTTTTTTTTTTAAAAAAAACTAGAATTTCGGATTAAAACGTGACGTGACGTACAGCTAAAAATGCGATGTTCAGAAAACAAAAACGTACTTTCACGCAAAACTTTGGTGACGTAATGTGACTAACATGACGTGATAACAGTGTGGCTCTGTCACATTAAAGTATATTTATAAACGATACTCCGCATATTTTTATCACGTGACAAAACTTGACGTTACGTGACGTGACAATAATGTGTTTCTACCTTTGCACTCAAATACTGAAAATTATAACGGTAAACCTATTAATTTATGACGTGTACCTATTAATGAAAATCATGGAGTTATTATTATTAATGTATGGTATAAAATATGGGTAGCAATTAAATATTTGTTTTTTTTTTAATTTTATTTTTAGAAATAATCCCTCCTCTCCAATATTTTTAACGAACTTTGACTTAAATTCCGTATGAGATTTTTGCAATGCAGGTATCTTTATAGAACATCCTACTTACCCAAAGACTATAGTATATAACACAAAAGTAATACATTTAAATATATAGATTCAATACATTGCAATATTTTCAATAAACGCTTTAATACAAATATAAAATATTTAAAAAATGGCGGCTGATTCAAAAGTTATAAACTTTATGGGACACCCAGAGTACTTCATTACGTATTATGTATTCGATGTTCGCCTTTAGCCCGAATATCAATATTTTACCGATTATTATAAATTTTAATATCATCATATTATTTTCATTTCCGCAGAACTAAATACACCGACACGAAACTAATATTTTGTAACGGAGTTGTTTTGGACAAACAACAATGCCACAGGAGTTTTGGCGATTGGCTACAAGCTATATTGGATTTCAGTCAGTCATTGCACTCGTTGGACATCGATATTTCGTCTTTCTCTTGTCTGTGCGCCTTGACTCTGATCACAGGTATAAATTTTAGTTGTTTGAATACAACAATATCACTACACCTATTTAATTATAACATGTTATTCCTACTGTAAAAATATATCAACTGCATTTAGTGACGTGAACAATTCTATTAAGCTATATTTCGAAATACTGTTAAAGAAAATGGATTATTATGATAATGTTACTGCTTATGTGACTAAGCAGCCACATAATCAGTAACTTAATGTTAAATATATAATTTTCTATGAAGGCCTAAATAAAACCTGCCATTGCAGAAGATAATCATAAACAATCTAATAAAAAAAAAAATTAAGTATATTCAGCGGTTATAATAAAACTTATTAATAGCAAACCAAGCGCTTTAATTAACGAAAGAGCGAACTAGGGAGTAAACTTAGAACAACGAATTAAATATACAATTATACCTCTAGATTTAAATATAGACTCTTTCTAGTTTTTTCGTAAACACCATTGATAAACTAAACGAAGTGTTCAACCTTTCTTATAAATAAAATAGATCTACTTTTTAATGAGTTCGATTTTCTTCCAAGAAGACACGGCATTTTAATTACGCGCTACTACTATATATTATATAATAATTAAAAGTAATCCACTCCGAAAATATAAAAATAAGGTTACATCCAAAAACCGCACATATTTTATTTTAACCCCCAAAAGGTTGGTAGACAAAAACCGCACACTTTATGGATTGCCAGGTAAGTACATCATACAGCCAAATACCACACACTTATAGAGGGTAAAAATCTCACTATGTAATGTATTAATAATAATGTATTTTATATAAACAAATGTTGTATATATAATTTTAAAGTTAATTGTTACATTCAAAAGCTTATCTTATCGCACGTTGATGTGGTCGAAAAATAACCAGTACATTTGTCGACCAAACGCGTAGTATAACGTAAAGTTTATATACATATATAATCTGTATATATAAAACAGTAAGCTGATTGACTGCTATCAACGCACAGCTCAAACCATTGGACGGATCTGGCTGAAATTTG